GAGTAGAAAATGAAGGCTAATCATGTTTTGGGTGTACTATTCCTTTAAAGAGTCTACTGTCAGTGCAGGAATCAGTGCAAGAGTCAGAGAAGGAATCAAAGAGGGAATCAGAGAAGGAATCAGTGCAGGAATAAGTTCAGGAATCAGAGCAGGGAGGGATGCAGATTAAACTGTCTGGATGAACACTGACATCTGGTGGTGGAACGCAGAAACCACAGTCTCTCTTTTGTCATTGCAAAAACCTTTGCCTGTGAGTTTTTTATTTTATGACCACAACAATTTTAGATTTTTATTTCTCAATAAAACCTTCAACTTTTTAGACAATGTAATTGGCAAAATTATAACGATTTAAGAAAAGTTTATTTGTTCACAGTTTAGTAAAGATATAAAGACCTGCCCAAATATAATGCCATAAAATATAATAACAGCAGATTAATATCTTTAAGAAATTAGAGGATCAAATCCAAAGTATTTCAGAGTATTTCTGGATCCTGGAACCAATTAAGAACAAAAGCTTTGTCCTCTCAGTTTTTAGTAATAAACTGAGCAAAATCAACAGGCACTGATTACTGGACCTTAGGGACCCGCTGGGGACATAAAGCTGCTCTGGTGATGAACTCTGCTGGGAACCATGAGGAGCTTTCCAAGTCTGTATTATCTGAGTCTTTGTCAGGGAACTGTTCTGGAGCAGAAATGTTGGATATCCTATATTCTTTTTGCTCCTTCTGCAGAAGTCCCAAACCATCATAACATGGACAGCTGCATCTACACCTACCTGCTGCCAGAGTTAAACAAGCTTTGCTCTGGTGGTAACACCGTTCTGTCGGCCTTCTTAATGAGAAATCAGTCCTGGAGTTTCCTGCAGCCTCAGAGGTCATGCTTAGTGTCTGCATCAAGCGTTGCTCTGTGTCAATGACAAAAGTACATTTCACTGTTTTAGAAGACAGCTTTAGAGGTTAGAGGTTTATTCTGCGCATAAGTTATCCGCTACGTCTGGAAGAATGACTTCAACCGTTCTGATACGTATTTTACCTCCAGTGATCCAAGTTAGCATGTTACTAATTTGAAATTTTTTTTTTGAGTTGTTCTTTAAACTTTCACAGGTTTTTCATGTGTTTTTTTTCTCAGTCTAGAACATGAAGTGACTTAGAGCAGCTGTTCTTTGCTTGTTTCGCTCCAGAAATCTGATGCATCATTAAATCATTTCAGTTGGGGAAGAAACTGTTGCAGAAATGTTTTAATTTGGTCGTGAAAGGAATGGGAGATATGTTTATATGCAGATGATAGTGTTTTGTGTTTACATCATGAGGGCTAAAGTCCACCCCACCAGAGGCCTGTGTCCTCTCTGAACCTTCGTCTTTGTGGCGTTGCTTGCTCTGAGAAGCCATGTAGCTTCCTGTCACTTTTTATTTGCCAGACATCATCCTTCTATCTGCTGAATGTCAAAAGCCTAATTGTTTTCACAGAAGGCTCTGCCAGTGTTGAAAGCCGCCACTGCGTCCGTTCTTTCTTTTTCTCTGCATGATGCCGAGGCCCTCCAGGTGCCACCGCAAAGCTTTGCCAGGATCCCGACAAACAGCTCCGACTCAGGGAGCCTTTGGCAAAGCTGTGAAAAACACAGATCTATTTCTTCTTGTCAGGATAATGAACCCCATCATGGTACAGTAACATCGGTCTGACGGCTGATGTTGGCATGGAAGCGGTGCAGTATGCCAGTCCTGGCGAGGCGCAACGCTCTGCAATCAATGCTGCATCTGAGGTTCAAATATTAAAGTTTGTTGGCAGCAGGACTAACCCCCCACCCCCAGAACCAGACAGCCATAGAAAGGAGCAAAAATCCAGATCAAAATAAGTGCTTTTTTCCTAGTTTTTCCTTGAATTGAGGAGGAAAGGACTTTGCCAATGGAACAAGACAATTTACATTTTAACTAATAAAAAAACAATTGCATTGTCTTATTTCAAGTGCATATTAGCACCTGCTCAAATTAAGGGTACATATACCTAATTTAAGACATTTTGACTTATTTCTAGATCATTTTTGCAGTGAACAAACTCTTGTACTCTGACAGGTCCCGATTTAGAATGACAAGGAGCAGCTATACACACAGATGGTGTTATTCATTGTTGATACGAAACATAATATGAAACTCAACATTAAGGAGGAGAGAATTGTGTCGCTTTAGTCGCTATATTTAGCCACTTTTCAGACCCCTCTAGCACTTTGTTTTCTAAAAAGCTCCTAGCGCCAAA